AAGACTGCTAATTAATTACAGCAACTGTACACATCGTCTCTGTGGCGTTGACTTGTGAACATACTGTATATCTGCCAGTTTTCACCTAATGAGTAAGATGCACCGGTCTGAAGCCCATAATTATTCAAAAGCAACGAATGCAGACATACATCAGAGAGTGTTATGCTTTGCCGTCTTATTTTAGGTAAACAGCTAATTACTTAAGCCTGAATTGTTCAGCCTGAATAGTGGTATTTTTGGTAATTCTGTTTATGCAAGGACATAAAAAGGGAAGTCTCCTTATGCCAGTTTGTGCTCATATATTATGATTACAGTGTAGTCACAGAGCTGAGCATCTTTTTACTGTACCTCTCTATTTCATTAGTCAATAGACAAGCATGACATTTCTCCTGGCTTGATTTATATGATAAGCATCAACATCTGAATGGTTAAAAATTATATAGTAATTTTATCTTGAATTTACAGCTTTAATATAATCGTACACTGACATGTCCTAGGGAGAATGGTCTCCTTCATTGCCATTCTGTGCTCAGAGCGCCAGGTATTACACTATGTAGCATTTAAATCCCAGGCAGAAAATCTATCTTGAGAACTGTAAAATGATTTTTGACTCTTCAGCAAGCTAGCTATGAGAAGAAGCTAGCTCAGTATTCTCAGGTACGGATATCATGGCAGAGACTGTGAAGAGGCCAAAGAAGACGTTGTGGATGGGAAGTCAGGAAGAGGAAAAGAAAGAGTGAATGAGCAAGAGACTGGACAAGAGTAAATATCGGACTGGCTTTTAGTTGTAGGCGATAGCTTTATGAAATACACTGAACAACATTATGCATGCAACACTTGTTTTTGCCCCCATTCATCGTGAGCTGAACTCAAAGATCTAAGACTTTCTCTACGTACACAAAAGGCCTATTTCTTTCCAATATTGTTCACAAATCTGTCAAAATCTGTGTTAGTGAGCACTTCTCCTTTGCCGAGATAATCTGCTGATCAGACAGTATGGGTATTGCACAGGTGTGCCTTAGACTGGCCACAATAAAAGGCCACTCAGAAATGTACAGTTTCACTGTATTGGTGGGTCCGGGGGGTCCGGAAACCAGTCAATATCTGGTGTGCCCACCATTTGCCTCATGCAGTGTAACACATCTCCTTCGCATAGAGTTGATCAGGTTGTTGATTGTGAAAGTGCGTTTATAATTTTGTTCAGTATAAAAGCTGGGCTTGGACTAGTAAGTGATATTAGCTGGTTTGCGTTGTTGCACTTGCTTGATGTTTAGTTGTGTTAGCAGATTTGTCGACAAAGTAAGAAGTAATGTAATTAAAACAAATGCATGTGTACAGCTGTCCATCATTACATAAGTGAATTGCACTGTAACTCAAGGGTCTCCAAATGGCAAAAAATATCAAATCTTACTCAAAGCTGCACATAATTACACATATTTTTCTTGTTTTATATACTGTACATTGAGTATGGAATATGTTGCAACCATCTTAGTTTGTATTAAGAAACAGTCTCAACATTAAAACATGTTTCTATTGTGCAGCAAAATTAATATTTTTATTAAGTGTTAAATGAGTTTTTGAACGACTGACAGACTGACACAAATGTAAATTATAATAGGTGAGAGGCGCATACTGGGGCTAACAGCCTCCCAAGCTTCCCTGCTTTTCTTCTAGTACCAGCTCTCATCTCATCTATTTCCCGTGGAGGTTTCCTGGACATCATATGACTTCCTCTGATCACGTCCTCCACCTGCAGAGTTTCTCTCTGGTGATTTAAGCCACTCTGGCACTTCTCCCGCCTCTGCCCTTGTTCCCAAACGGCGGGGGAGCTCCCTTTCTACTCTCCCTTGCAACCTTCCTTCCTTTCTTCCTTCACTGTCTGATCTTTCTTCTATCCTCCTCTCTCAGTTATTGTGTGCCCTCTCCTCCGTGTCTTCTGTTTGGTTTCCCTTTTCTTTCTTCACTGTCACTCTCTCTCCCTTGCTCTTCTGCTGTACTCACACACACTCTCTCCTCCCTCGCTCATCCACATCAGCTCACTCCATCTCCCAGCTCTACAGGAGAGCCCAGAGTCTGGCACACCAGCAGATGCAATGACACACATACACACACACACACATACACAGCATTAATCTGAGAGCTTGGAGGCTTGTGGTTGTAGGTTACTGTCAAATGTGAGGCTCCCTTGAAGGTCCATCAGGCAGCAGGCAATTTCTTTACATTGCAAATATTACACCCAACTGCTCACCCCCTCTGGCTTGTGTTTATACCCCGATGCACACACACACACACACAAATAAAGCCACATAAAAAATTAGCCACATACTAGAACAGAGGGGCAGATACACACAGTCCCTTTCATGAAGTCACACAGATACACACAAATGCACTCACACCTACAATTACACATAATTTTACAATGATCAAATGCACCCCCATAAATACACACACAAAAAAACATGTTTCACAACAAACAACCACTGATGAGCATCCAAAAAGCTCATAAATTCAGGATTATGTGTTTGTGGAAGCCTGTATCAAATATCAGAAATAAAGAGGATACACACTCTTGGCCACCACAATTGCAGTAATGGCTCTCATTATGCTGTACCATACAAAATAACTTAATTGCAGTTTGTTTACACATGTGGTGAAGTCTCCTTTTCATTTAATTTAGACCATGTGCATGCATTGTCAGAAGATATAAAAAGTCCATGGGGGGGGGGGGGGGGTGTCTGACTCACTAAAGTATTACGAGATTTTATTCTCATGCTTGGTGTCACCCACCTAGCCTTACAACATAATAAACCGGCCTGCTTGTGACAGTGGACTCTCGGCTTAGATCATTTCGTGAATAATGTTGAATAATCATAACTTTCCTCTAAATCAAATGTGACAGGAAAAAAATTGTTTTTGCGTGTTTGTTGCTGCTGTATTAGAGACGTCCATATGCTTTGGGTCAGTGTTTCCAGAAACCTCATACGGCCTGCCATAAAACAATCACACATGCCAATTTTTTTTTTAAAGTCATCGGTTTTCAATTAAATTTTGTAATTCTGTTTCCCTCCATGTGTAGCTTCACATAGTTTCCAGATGACTGAACCTGAAGCTGAGTTTTTATATCAGTATTTACATGTTTTTGTAGTTTGTTGATATATTACATTAATTTGGCAGACACTTTTGTCCAAAATGACTTACAATAAGTGCATTCAACCTTCATAGGAACAAGAGCTAGATGTCATCAAATATCGCACCTTCATCCAAAAAGGAAGGTAGACCATCACCAGCACAACAGCAACTCAAAAAGAAAAGAAAATTATTTTAATTTTATTTCCATCTGTTTTGTGCACACATTTTTTAACCATGCTTGCTTTTTTAACCATGACAGTCGATCCACCACTTTGGTCCTGGCTGAAATAATCTCAACAACTATTAGATTGTCATGAAATTTGAAAAAGACATTCATGTCCTCTTTAGGATAAATCATACTAGCTTTGGTGAGTCACTTTCTTGCAACGTCTTCAACATTTCAATTTAGTTCATACCCAATTACCTGCAAAACTAATGACATTCCCATCAGCCTCAGCTAGACTTTGAGTATAGTGCTAAACTAAGATGGTGAACATGGCAAACATTATACTTGCTAAACATCAGCATGTTAGCATTGTCATTGCATTGTCATGAGCATGTTAGCAAGCAAACATTAACAAGTACAGTCTCACAGAGCCGCTGGCGTGGCTGCAGACTTAGTCTTGTTTCATGTGTCTACTTGGTTTTAATTTCACTAAAATAAAATGCTTAGTTTTAAAGTATGATGTTTTTCGTACAAAGACACACACACCTTGCAAATAATCCCCCACCCATCCAGCTGTACAGCCAGGCCATCCAGTCCACATGGAACTGATCACAATTCAACAAACACAGTGTATATAGCTACTAACACTCTATAAACAGATCATGTATTGCTAATAGACAAAGAAAAAGGACAATTCACGCCCTTGAGGTCAAATGGTTCCAAATTTGCCAATGGTGATTGACACAGGTTGGGTTTGATGGGGTTGTTTGTTTCATGCAGCTTGAAGTTTTGAAAGAGGAGGATATGTCTCAGAGGTTTTTCTCCTGTGATGTGTTTGGTGTACTTTGTCAGCATGGCCAGTGGTTTTAGCTGAACCAGCTAACCTGCTCAGTAAGTAAACATACAGTGTTGGCTAGTTCTTACCTGCTCCTGTTCAGCTAGCAATACCATGCATACATCCACATCCATGGGGATAAAAACAAATCAGGTACTGCCAGCAGAAAGAGAAAAGGTGAGCAAGAGAGAGACTAACAGCAACACAATTAAAATGCACAATCCACAAAAAAAGGCAGAATAACACCTGACTGGAACTTGCTATTGCTCTAACGTTACACTGACAGTACAGAGAATAACACAGTTGTATTCATATGTATTCATCAATATTGATAATTCAATCATGTAAAATATATAATAATTAATGCCCTCAAAGGGGTCATTCCTCAGCGAGTACTTTTACTTTTCATTGTTTTACTTAATTTTGAATGCAGGACTTTCTTGTAAAAGAGTAGCCTATTTCTACAGTGGGATAATGCTTCTTTTACTAAGGTATAATATCACAATACTTCCCTGACTTCTGCTGGTATGCTGAACCAAAAATAGAGATGACAGTCACACAGACAGTGAAGCACATGTGGTATGGTGGCCCTTCTGTGTCATATGATTTTTGTTATAGACTGGCATTTTCCTGTTAAAAGTAATCCCTGTACATCATCGTCGTCATTGAAAATCATATATTCTCACTCAAACTTAAGCGTATTCTCCTTATTGTCCACTAGAGGGCACTGTTATACAACAAGCATTTAGGTAAGCACAGGATATCTGTCTCCATTTCTGTTTTTCTGCCTGCTTATTAGTGCCTAAGTACAAATAAATAAATAAATACATTAAAAACAGTGGATCTCACCGACCTCCGGATGGTGCACAGTACCTTTTCTATTGTCCCTGCTTGTATTTCCGCATTGAAGGTGGAGACTTTTAGTGGGATATGCCTGCTGTGTTACGTTTGGGGAAGTTGCACAATATCGGAAAGTCACATTTTACTGAACTGTAAGTAAAGTATCAGTTTGCTAATGGTCTGCTTTTACGGGTGCACTCAACGGAGGACAATAAACCCCCGTAACGGCTCTGGTTGTTGTACATCATGTCAGTATAACCAAAACTCAGGTTGTGTTAGCTTTTTCTGGTAGAATGAATAAGTCAGTAACTTCCGGTACTTACATTCGCAACCTCAGTTATAGTTTACTTCGCAAAGTGTCCGATTTTTTGGATCCTCAAGACAGGTGGAAAGATGTTATTGCGTCGATACGGCAGCCGAGTGGGGAGTATAGGTACTCTCAGCATCATGTGAGGTAGGTGATGAAAGCTGGTGACATGGCAGACAAGCTGATGTAACGTTATTTACTGTTTATTGTTTTAAGAATGCTTGCACACACACTATCTATCTATCTATCTATCTATCTATCTATCTATCTATCTATCTATCAATCAGGAGATTTGAAGGCCTTGTTGCACAGGGTAAAAGTCCCACAGTGGAGCTGCTGGCTGACTGGGGGACCACCAACAGTACAGTGGGTGAACTTGTGGACATTTTGAAGAGTCACAAGTTACTAGCTGCTGCTAGTGTTCTGCTACCTGGTATGATTTTTTTTCTGAAGCATTATAATAACTATTGACTATATAATAGGCGTATAACCTTGGCTAAAAATTCTTAAAAGTAACACCAATAGTAGGTTACATCCTCCACATCAAAAGTGTTTTCAAATGTCCCATCTTTTTCATTTTGGTCAGAAAATGTGACACATTCAACATGTTCCATGGTCAATTTTAATGAATTTTTAAATAGTTTTAGTTTTATTGCATTTTTTGTCAGGGACAGTTTCATTTACATATAAACTGTTTATTTCTCTGTCTTATCTTTTGTCAACACAAAGTGGAAGAGGCCATCTCAGCAGTGACACAGCAGGCCTCTCCAGCAGTAGAAACATACAGTGCCCTTCCAACTAGACTACTGGAAGAGGCAGAGACACAGCCACCATCTGTCAGCTCTGTTCTGCAACCACACATTCTACTGGAGAGCAGTCAACCCGGCCACACAGGTGAGGGCACAGTAAATCCACATTTTAAGCCGATTATGTTGACACTGGCTGGTATAAATACAATATTTTTTTATGCATATTGTCCTTTATGGTGATCTGTACATGAGAGGAGGTTGTGAAGTTACTGACAGTGGAAAACCGCAACATCAGGTTCAATAACATTGTGTGCTTGTTTTGACTTTAATTGAAATATCATATCTCTTTTGTGTGGGATTAGGGGTTGAAACTAATTCTAAATAAATAGTGGTGGAAGAAGAAGCATTCAGATATTTTACTCCAGTAAAATCTGCATTGCAACAATGTAAAACTACTCCAATACAAGTCAAATGTGTGCAAGTACTTAGCAAAATGTACTTTAAAGTATCAAAAGTAAAAGTACTTATTATGCAGAAAAATGACCCAATGTGGCCACACAATTATTAGTGTGGTTGCATTAATGTGGGTAGTCATTTGATGTTGCTGGTGGAGGTGAAGCGAATTTTCAATACTTCATATATTGTTAGTGGAATTTGCAGCAATCTATCATATTTTATAAACTACTACTATTCTATGTGTAAAATGTTAATCTGCAAAGTAACCTATAATTATTGCTGCCAAATAAATGTTCAGAAGTAAAACGTACAATATTATACATATATAAAGTATATTGGAAATACTAGAATTACTCAGAATTCTACTTTAGTAAATGTATAACATTGACCCACAGGTGGCAGCAATGGGGCCTTAACCAGAAAGGTTAATGACCCTTTTCTGTGTGTGCCTCATTAGGTTTTTCCAGTTTCTTGTACAATGAGCTCTTGCAGATTACAGGCAACTTTGATGACCGTCCGATATCGGGCGGCGGCAGCAGGCTCGGAGAGGGAGGCTTTGGCACTGTATACAAAGGTCTCTTGAATGACAAACCTGTTGCAGTGAAAAAGCTCAATCCAGTAAGTGAAAGTATTTTAGTGCCCATATCTTACTTTTGAAGACCTTCTAAATTACTAACGCAAAATATTTACTCACTTAGATGGAGGATGTCTCCCTGGACGAGCTGCGAGTTCAGTTCAGCCAAGAGATCCAAACTCTGAAAGTGTATGTTTTGTCTTCTGTCTATATCCTTGTCTGTTTGCTTTTGAGTGACTCGCAGACATCTCACAGCCTTTACATTTTATTAGCTAGAGCAGACAAGCTGTTTCTCAAGTGGGTATCTTAATCAAACTTGTGAAATAAATGTAAATGGTTGTTACAGATCTTGGTCAGTCAGTAAATGTAAATGTCATTGTAGCTTATCTTTTGTGCAATTGGCAGGTTATTTTACTGATAACATTGCCATAAACAATGAAGCGTTAGAGGGATGTACATTGAAATTAAATTGTCAACGTCACAGAGGAATCTATACGTATTAATTCGAGATTAGTTTGAGATTTTGAGAAAAAAACACCAATTTGTCTGTTAAAAGTCTGTTTCAAGTGACTGTAACTTTTGAAACAAAACATATGTCCTCGTACAGATGAATAGTTGAATTCATAATCAGTAAAATGCGCCCTTTTACTGCTACAGCCTTACTTGGTCTAGTATGACCAGCAGCCTGTGGTGGCTAATATTATAGATATTGCTGTGTAACTGACATTACTAAGTTGGTTCGCTGATTTTGTAACCCTTACCTTAACCACAATGTTGTACCATTCAGCATTTCACTTGTGGCCAATTATGGCTGTTGTTTACCAAAACTACAGGGGCAAACGGCTAGCTTTTCCTCTGCCTACTAGCACAGCTAAGGTTTGTTTTTTGTACAGATTAAACAAATTAGGTATAACATGCAACTTCAGAGATGCTGGTGAGCAGATTTTGTTAACTTTAGGTTACCCGTATTATTTCCAGTCTTTATGCTAAACTAAGCTTACAGACATGTGAGTGGTTTCAATCTTCTCAGTAAAAAAAGTGAATGAGCGTATTTCCCAAAATGTCCAACAATTTCTTTAAGCCCAGCATACGTAGGTTAACATAATGATTCATATATTTGAAAATATATTTGTTCCACAGGTTGAAACATGAGAACTTGGTTGACATGGTTGGATTTTGTTGTGATGGACAGCACCCATGTTTGGTGTATGCCTTTATGGCCAATGGTTCCTTGCTAGACCGAATAGCTTGCTTGGTAAGCACTGTCTATACTACACACTCTGCCTTCTAGTACTTTGTCCCTTTTTCATACAGAACTTAATTTCATACAGAACTTTTGTCCTTTTAGGATGGAAGTCCTCCACTGTCCTGGCAACAGAGATGCTTGATAGCTGAAGGGACAGCAAGAGGTTTGGAGTATCTGCACAGCAACCATCACGTCCACAGAGATGTCAAAAGGTACATAAAGTTATGTCTTTCCTCATTAGCAGTGCCCTTTAAATGATCTTTTCTTAAAGAAATAGTTCAGCGTTTTGGGAAATTGGGACTTTCTTTCTGAGAGTTAGATGAAACATTGATACCGCTCTTAGAACCCAATTACACTTCATGTATTTTGTTACCTTCAGGCAGAACCAGGATAGCTGTTTTCCCCCATTTTCAGTCTTAAAATTAAGCTAACTCTCTGTAGATTTAACAAAGAGATATGAGAGTGGTATCAATCAGATTTCCCAAAATGTGGAACTATTTCTTTTACAAGAGTAGAAAGATCTGAATTTGATGTTTCACAGCTCATTGTGCTCATAATCTTTTTTTTGTCTTGTTAGTGCAAATATTCTGTTAGATGAAAATTTAGTGGCAAAGATCTCAGACTTTGGACTGACGAGAGCATCAGCCAAGAGGACATCGACAACCATGATGACGGATAGGATTGTAGGTACCCGTGCATACATGGCACCTGAGGCGCTAAGAGGAGAGATCACGCCAAGATCTGATGTCTTTAGCTTTGGAGTGGTAAGCATTTTGCAGACACACACATGCACCCAGAGATGCACACACAGATAGGGATATCACGGCAGGAAAGGAGAAACTGCAACGGTAATGTAAACTATTGAACACAACTCAGCAGTTTACTTGAGTGCAAGGTCCTCTTAAACTACTGACACATCCATAGTTGGAGGGCATAAACATTATAGTATACATTTCTTCCCATTTGTGAAAATAGAACTCATAAATGTCAAACATTTTAGCCATTGAATGACACTGGTTGAATGATTTATGGGATCAGCACGGTATAAAGCTGCCTGACCTTCCATATATCGCAGTATATAAAGCTTATATGTCTTAATAGGACAGCTGTGGAAACACTACAGTGTCTGTGAAGCTTCCTGGCACATGGTAAGGTAATAAAGGTTTTCTGTCTTCCAGAGTCATGTGATTAACCCCATCTTTCTGCCATCTACAGGTGTTGTTAGAATTATTGTCTGGACTCCCGCCAGCCGATGAAAACCGCGAGCCACAGTTCTTGGTAAGTGGCACAAAACAGGCTTTCACTGTGGATCTGTCAAGCTACAGTTACTACGATTACAGCTTATTAAAGCCTTTGCATTTAATTAGTTGTCGGTCAACAGACATTAAACAGTAATTGAAAGAATATGAGCCAGTTTCATCTGGGCTGATTATATGCTGAGCAGCTTTTGTTCAGACGGTAATACACATCCATTTTTATAATTTTGATAAAATCAATAATGCTAACTTGAAAACAAAGCAAAATTTTTTGTCTAGTGTATCATTGCCTTGAGTCACCTGTAGTGGGATTTTACCTCCCCCACTCTCCCAGATGGAGGTGAGGTATGATATAGATGATGAAGACGAGGAGCTGACTTTTGAAGACTTCCTGGACAAAAAGATGGGAGACTGGGAGCTGAGCCATGCGGAGAGTGTCTACTCTTTGGCCTGTAACTGCCTCCACGAGAGGAAAAACAGACGGCCAGTCATCAAACAGGTACAGTGAGGAAAGGCAGATATTAAAATGTATAGTTTAAGCTACTGTGTTAGCGTCTGCACTACGTTCTGTGTGTCACCTTGAGTGAAATACCTGTATGATCAGCTCCAGGAGCACTGGTGAAGGAAGCCCCAACAAATCCCATGAAACAACCAAACACAACGATGTCTTATATACTATGTAATACTTTCTGACTTCCCCAGCATGTCTGTGGCTCTCAGCCCCAAGCCCATATAATACAGAAGATGGTTAAAAATGTTTGTTTGGGACCATTTTCAGCTGTAGATTTGGTGCACCGGTGAAATCTCTTAAATTTTTTGTTTATAAAAGAAATACATAACTGAGGCTGTACTCCGGTGTCTTAATTTGACAATAAAGCAAGACATTTTACCTGCAAAAAAGTTATGCTATATTGTTTCTACCATTTATCAATGAAGTGAAAGAAGTAGATTGTTGACAAGGCTTCACTGACCGTGCCGAGGTCAGGTCACAAAGAACTGTAAAACTTTCAAGGGAATCAAAAAGTGGCCAATTTGAGAAGAATGAAAATCGCATGGGATTTGCTGAAGCCTCAATTAGATCACAAGTTTCCCTGTTGTCTGATGTAATGTCAAACTGTGTGTAAACAATAAAATACAACAATTCCTGTATTTTGATTTGTAGACTGTTTTAGTTAATAACATATATCGCAACAGGTCTTGTTGGAGCTTAAAGGAGTTGTCAAAAGCATCTCGCTGGAGTTGGAGGCACAGGAGTGAAGTGTAGCATCCAAGAGAAGATACAAGATTTCTGAACCTGCTCCAGTCAAAGTGCACACACTGACAAATTCATGTCCTTTTCAACAGAGAAATGAATGTTGCTTGTTGACTTTGACTGACAAAAGTTTATTGTAATAAAAAGCTGCAATTATTTTTATTTATTTAAAAGGATTTACTATATTTTTTGGAAGAAGCATGCAGCTTAGTTTTTATAGTTGTGTAACTGTTACAAACATGCGGCCGCATGTTGTAATAGCATTAAGCATTTTGTGAGGCTGTTATGTGAGACATTCTGATGGCTTAATATCTTTTTAAAAAGCTGAAAACAATTGGACTCGCCAGTGTTTCTATTACGTATGTATTGTGAAGACAGTCGAAGGAATAAAATGAATGAAACAGACAAACAAATGTATGATTTAAATATTTTTATTTTTCCTCTTCTAAAAGAAAGATTTGTAAGAAAACAAATAAGACCATGACCATGATTTCTTTTTTCTATTATAATGACACTGTATGAATATAAAGGGATTTTCCCTTCAAACATGAGGTGAGCTTAGTAGTTTGTCTAATATTAATCAGCAGACCAGTGGATGTGGCAACATTTTAACCAAGGTACTTATACAATTCCCTTTCCTATCTGGTTGCTTCTTGTACAGGAACCAGCAAAGTTTGACTAGCTTCCTCTTTGTGAAATATGGGATGTATTGACGTAATATTTCTGGAAGCCCCTGTTCTTTCCACTGTGATCCTCACTGACACTAACAATCACCAGAAAAAGACCAGACTGTTTCTTAATCATAGAGCATCACACAGCTACAATATGTACATTTACAGCACTTGCATAGAAAAATAAGTTTCTCAGCAGATGATTTTTCATGTAAACCACAGTTATATCAAAACAGAAGTCAATTTTCCAATATAAAATGCACTGTTAAAATCAATCAATAGACACAAGTGGAATAACCATATCTTTTCTGCTTTGGAGCACCTTTTGTGCAAACAGTAGAAGACATATATTCAACACATTAGACACAAAAACATTAATTGACACAGACTTAAGGAATGCAAGTTAGGAATTAGAGCACGTGAACTCAAAATGGGGGAATTTCATCATATTGGCATAAGTTCACATTAGTCGCGCTAACATTTATGTAAGTCTCAGAGTTGGCATAAATGTAAAAACCTCAAGTTTGTCTTTGAGCCTTTTTGAATCATTGTAAATTAATTTTTGTGACTACTAACATACATGAATATGCTTCCATTTGGCAAGCTACAAATGGAAATTCTGAAGTGTGTCATTGCTCAGTTGTCCTTGGCGTGCATAGTTGGGTCTCTGGTGAACTTTGTGAGAATTTGAAGTTGTTGACTTATTCTTTTAAACAAGCGTGTCAAATATGATTTCCCCCATCACGGCAATGTTCCACTATGGAACGTGCTCGGGGTGGAGGTGGTGGCCGGGTGCTGAGGTTGGTTCAATCTTCTTCCTCTTTGTCTGTGGGTGGCCGGGTGATGCGGCGGCCACCTTTCTTCCCAGCCGGGCCTTTGGGCTTGGCAAAGGCCTGCTTGTGTGCATGCTGCTTGGGATGCACCTCCTCGTACAGGAAATCACTGGTCAGATCATCCCCATTATCAATCTCCAACTGGGAAACAGAAAAAAAATGATGAGCGGATGGACTGTAGAGTCCACTTCACTCACACCAGAATAATATATGTTTTTTTAAGTAAATAAGGATCTACCTTTTTTGATGTCCATCTGTTACAAATATTATTTTTAAACTCTGTATGACCCATACTACACACTATACTAATTTTCATTCCCTTAAAGACTCGAAAACTATTTTCTCAGTCAACTTCAAACAGTTGTAAAGTTTTTGGTTATTTCACGTTACAGATTTTGCTCTTGTGTCTTTCTCACTGGTTTGAACTGGGCTCATTTCGAAATAAGTGATGGATTAAATAAACTATCCGTCCATAATCCATAAATACATTACATTACGAAACATCTGAATCAAAATGTGAAGACACCTCTCAGTGAATCAAATCTCATCAAAATAGGGCTGCAACTAACAATTATTTTCATTGTCGATGAATCTGCCGATTATGGTCTCGATTAATCAAATAATCATTTTGTTTATACAATGACAGAAAATACTGTAATAAATGCCTATCATCATTTCCCACAGCTACTGACTGTTGTAGCCCTAGATCAAACCACCAGCTCTTAAAAAGCAGACTAACGGAGTTTTGAGGTGTGATAAATGCTCCTAATAAATGACACATGATGATGGTTCCACTGAACTTTGTTGCTTATTTAGTCATGAATAGTATTTTGGAGAAATACTGATTTGAAAAACAGTTTTCAGAGGCTTAAAGTTTTGTGACAAAAATGACCAAGATTTCTTCTTTTATCATCGTCTTTTATCATGATAGGTAGTTTTCTTACCTTTCTCTCAATCTCAATCTGGAGATTGTTTTCCACCATGTCAACCAAGGGATTTTTGCAGCTGGAATACAGCATCCTCTCTCGGATGCCACAATTGTACCCGGGCATAGAATAAATGAAGACTGCAAATAAAAATTACAAAATGAGAGGAGTAGAGAAAGTACCAACATAAAACATAAAAAATGTAGCTGCATAGAAATAATAGGGCTGTGTGTGTGTATGTCAACTGTTCAAAATTAATTGTGAGAATCTATTCACCTGTGGACTCTAAGTAGTCGCCTTCGTGGGAATGTTTGTAGAGGAAGAAGTGGTAACGTGCAGAATCTTTCGGGATTCTCATTGGCAGGTCTTTCACCTCTGTTGGTTCAGTGCTGCACAACCGAATCAGCTCCTGTTCGGCATCTACTTGCTGTTGACAAAGAAATTAAAAGTTACTCTCGAAGTTGGTGGCGAACGCTCCTGACCAATTAAGACAATCTGGGTAGGGGGGCAGTGAATAACAAACTGTCTCCCCTCCATCTCAGGGGTTTCTTGAGTGAAACATTTACTCAATCGTTGCTGGTGTCAGGAGGAAACCTTAAATGGATGAACAGAACGAAACCGCTTTCTTCAGAAGCTTTTAGGACAACAAACAAAAAGGGAATTCGAGACAGAGCAGCAACAATGTCACAATTATTCCTTTGTACTTTGCACTGATCTGATCTTGTGACATGAGCCCTTTGAATTTCAATGAGAAGAACAAAGGCTTTTTGGGGCAAAATAAGTAATTCATTGTGTCAGTCTGCAAACAATTCCTGACCAAAAACATCTCTAACAATACATAATGAAAGAGAGAGAATTAATTTATTCAAATTATCGATCTAGCAAAGGTCGGGTGATGGCGCAATGGATAAGACGCATGCCTTTGGTGTGAGAGACCCAGGTTCAATCCCCCACTGTGACCCATTCACCATTGTGTCCCTGAGCAAGACACTTAACCCCTAGTTGCTCCAGAGGCGTGTGACCTCTGACATGTATAGCAATTGTAAGTCGCTTTGGATAAAAGCGTCAGCTAAATGAATAAATGTAATGTCACCTATTCACTGATGCTTTGGTTCTTAAGGACTCACCAGTTGTACGTAGTTGATTTTTTTGTCCCTATAACGTTCAAGAGCTGCAATGGCGTCTTTGTGAATAGGGAAGGCCACTCCCTGCAGAGTCTGCTGCTTGGTATCTACACTGATGTCCGTCTGCACCTGCACACACAACAAAACATTCTTAGTAATGAGGTCATTCCTTTGGCTGATCGGTGCATTATTTAGCATATATTTCATTAGCCTTCATATAACACATAATTGTTCATATAGGTACATTCAAGAAAGTCAGTTCTTTATTAACAGTCACATTTATGCAGAAAGATGCTCAAATAAAATTGCTAAATTTACAAGGAGAACCTTTGCTGTCCAGCAAGTATGTGGTTTTGTTACTGTTTAAAAAAATGTGTCCACACACACACACACACACACACGACCACATTATGTTGACATGCCGGTGACAGTATGTCATCATGCTGACTATTGTAAGCCATGGGTCGAACAAATTTAGTCTTAAATTCAGCTCTGGTCTTTAAATGCCATCATATGAGGGGGACAAGTCAATGTTCTGCCAGAAGCATGAACAGGTTTCTACTGATATGAGTCATAACGACTTGTGGGTAAGTGAAATAGAATAAATATTCTTCATATTAGTCATCAGAAAGTAAAATAGGTTTACAAGTGCAGCAAGCAGCTTGAATGCGGGAGCATGATAATTACAAATGAGATGCTTGTAACGGAAGCGACAAGGTGCCTCCAGGAAATCGCACAGAAAAATGGAAATGCTGGAGGGATTACACTGATGGATTGCATCTATTTTTAGAGCCCTGTAACCCATAAAATGAAATGCCGTGCAAACATGATTGAGCCTCCGGTGTAGCTACCTCGCATACCAAAAAGGATTGCGAGTCTTTTATCCATCTGCTTAGTAAAAGGCAGGCAGTCTCCAAGGCACAGCAATGATAAATATTTCAAAGCCTCTTTTCCATCTAGGCGGTACAGATTAATGATATATTATCTTCCTTCAACAGCTGGTCAAGTGGGACAAGCACAAACCTCACTTCCCATTTGCACTGCTGCTTTTAATTGACCATACTTTGAAGAGGGACTGCGCTACTCAAAGCACTTCCATATATGGTAAGAAAGACAGTTCTTGTTGATGTGGCAGACGGGGAGAGCAGCAATTAGAATAGGCTGGTTTTCTAAAAAGAAGAAAGGCTCATTTGGGTAAATTTATAGGAACAGTCTGAAGCAAAGTCTGAAAAGTGAAACCTCACATGCTGCTTTTTATACTTTCTGCCTGGTGGAGTCTATCTTACACAGCCCTAAAGCCCTCTTCATCAGCAGTGTAAACATTGCTGGCGTCATAATCAGTGTGCAAAGGATATCACATTACAGTATTTCTTCATCTAATCACTGCAAACAACAAAGGCAAAGCACAATGATACAGCTCACCTGTGCTCCATGCAGAATCACTGCCGAGTATTCAAAGCCACAGGGCATTTGCATGTAGCTCTCTCAACATGGAAATAATAGATCAGAACACTAAAGAGACAAAGAGCTCTTTTTTTAACCACTTTGTTGCTCAAGCTGAATGGGGTTTATGACTGTAAACAATATTTTTCATGAAGCTATGGGTGTGAGCTGTGCAAGCCTAATAGATCCATTTCTGCCAACATCCTGCTGTTTTAATGCATCAGCATCTTTGCACCGTGTTGATAATGCCGGGCAAGCATATGCACACTTGCTGCTGACCTTGCGCTGTTTTGGAAGGATGCATAGCTGGCCTTCATTGATACTCTACAATGTTTATAGGACAAATTAAATCTCACACACAGGAGATGTGATTAGGAGGAATACTAATGTGGGGCTGAGGTAAGTTAACATTCTCCCACTGAAGTGTTAAGAATGACGTAGTGCCACAACTTTTCAGAACTGAAACAGACAACAGGCCTTCAGAATAGACTCAAGCCATACAACTTGTCAACAGGCATCTATGTACACAAGCGCAGTGAAGTTTCCTCTAAATTGACCTCAAATGGAAATGTTGACCAAGAAATGAAATTTGAATGACTTGCTTGTATGTTTGTTTGCTTGTGTGTGTGTGTGTGTGTGTGTGTGTGTGTGTGTGTGTGTGTGTGTGTGTGTGTGTGTGTGTGTGTGTGTGTGTTTGCACCTCATTTAATTTAATCCGTCTCAGTTCCTCCTCTGCAGCAGTGAGGGGAAGGGGAGCAGCCTGCGAGGTCAGGTATTTCCTGTATCCACTGAGATTCAAATCATCCTGGTGGGACAAAAAATAGCACAATCACACATCATACAGCTAAATAGACACTTACTTATACAGCATTGCTCTTATAAGTTGCCATAAACATATAAGATTGAAGCTTAACTTGTTTAAGGTTATGACTTAAGCTTGAGTGCATGAAATAGCTTTTCACGTCACTGTGTTTCTGTTGTCGTACGAACCTTTGTTGTAGCGAAAATCTCATCCTTGATGTGGCCACCTCCAAACTCTTTCTTGATTGTGGCTCTGGTAGCAGCATATAACATTTTATGTCGCACCTGTTGAGAATATGAGGAAAAGTTGGAGTTTTTTGTTTGTTACATGGTGGCTTGTAAAGATGGGTAAGAATCTGGCAGCTTCTGACCTGGAATTGTATTTATCTATCTTTTCTTTCTTTTTGGTCTGCTGTGAGTGTTTCATATAGAAATCTTATAGAAATAATACAGAATAATATGGGACAACATAATTGCAACTGTGTTGGATGATTGCTTCTATTCTTAAAAACACTTCATTGATAAAAAGTGCCCTGGAGAGTTTCCTTGTAAACAAACAAACTTGCAGTATACATTTAGTGTCACTTCATTGAAATGCATTGAGTGTATGCACTTCCTTCTTAATAAGACATTCGCAAAGCCAATTTTTAAAATCATTTTGAAACCTGCGTTGTTTACATCCATGTTTACATGCTAGCAATCTTCTTCATCCCTGCATTTGTTGGTACATTGTTACGTTTCATAGCGTTAACGCCACCTGTAGATTGAATGAAGGGCAAGCAAAAAGGAGAACCAAATCCAAAAACATTGCTGCTTATTGCTACTAGTGGTCAAAAACACCACAGGGTACCTCTAAACGTCCCGTGAAACTAATTTGCGATTTTATGCTAGACATTAAAGTTGCCTTGATGCCTAATCCAAAATTGGATCTCACTTTCCTCTTAACAAGAATTTATGAAAACACACTTGACCGATCATTTTAAGGCAACAGCATGCACTGGTTGTGAAATGATTTTGAAGCTGCCGGACAAGTCTCAACCTGAAGCCCTCTGCTTTGAGCTAGAGGGCAGGAATGTTAAGCAAGTGGTTCATCAACTTTCAGTCGAACCAAATGACAATACCATTAGGGGACAATGTTCGAGTCAGGAGGACGACAAATGCAAAACAGTCATTTGCATAACAGGGATACAACACAGCAAGACACACTTACATCACCTAAAGGCACTAAGAGGGTACATTTTAAGTCAGATATGGAAGGTTTAGACTAAGTGCCAGGTTATTTGTAAAGTACTACAAGATATAAAGGGGTATGTTTGTAAGTAATGAATGCACTTTTGTTCACATTCATCCAGTTTTTAAACAAGCATTCAAAAAACGTCTGCATTGTTATGGTAACCCCGCCCATCTGATACTCAAAGCATAAAAGGCAAGGAAAGAAAAGCTATTCATTACAGCCAGTCTTGGCTTGGTTTTCTTACAGCAGACTGGTCCGGTGACCAGGCCAAGAAGATCCACTCGTAGCCCTGGTTGTTAGTTGAATCCAGCCGGTACAGAATATAGCAGGGCACGTCATCCTGGAGGAGTGGCAGCACCAAGGAATCATACTCCTGGTCCCACTTCTTTGATGCTTTCTTGGTGGCACCCAGACTCAGCTGCTCTGGAAAGCAGATGTGTGCAACAAAAATGTCAGCAATGCTTGAATTTGTTAGTCATGTTGCTATTCTAATTTCAGCCTTAGCAGAAGTTTCAGTAGAAGTATGTGTTAAGAGTGTTCTTGGCAGAGTAAGCTGTAAACAAACTCCGGGACTCTGCTTACCATCCTCAATGACGATCTTTAAGACTCGATAGTGGTCTCCTCCCCTGGCATTGGCAAAGATATCCTTCACATCATTACCCGCTGAGAAAAGACAGAGAAGGGGTCAGACCCCTAATGCTTGCATGACAACAACACACTCTTGCTAATGTTCCACTTTGAGCCCTGGATTTTAAGTTTCCATGTAATAGCTTAATAACCTGTGAAAACAACAAAATGTTAGACATTGTACAAAGAACATACCACTATCTTCTAATTAGCAGTTTTTAACATATTGCCCAGTATCAAGTATCCCTTAGATGCTGCATTTAAACTTGAATTAAGCAGAAACAACAAGCAGCAGCTAAAAAAAAAAAACTATTGAACCCACTGCTGGATACTATTTTCTATAATTTGTTACGGTAAACAGAAGATTGTTGGGTTTTACTTAGGAATGCTTCAGTTGTATAGATGTGACTGAAGGCTGACCACCTTTGACCCCAAACCCAATAAAGCAAGATTCCAATTTGTATTCATTCTTAATGATTTTAGTTGCAGTGAGTGTTCCATTGTAACACTTTTAGATAAGATTAATCATGCTGGAAGGCAGAACTACAGACATTTAAAAACGGCTTCCTATCACACAGACAGGAAGGCAAATGGTTAAATACCAATATGCTTTTCTTTTCTTTTTTTTTTTAACTTGCACAGGGTTTTTTATCAGCACTACTTAAGCACTAGGATTGACTGTGACTTTTCTCTGCAGGTCTAGTCTTGTCAGATATAGACATTGTATATAAACTGAAGCATAATCTTAAGAGTTTTGGAAGGATTTAAAAACTTTAGTCTGCTATAGAGTAACCTGACTAATTTTGACTGGGGGGATTTAAGATCATTTATATAAAAAAAACTGTAGTTGAATGTTAGTGGCGTTAGTAGAGACGTTTACAATCGCCACTTTCCCTGTCTATTATTAAACTCGCCTAATTTGCACGTTGTTTTACCACATAACACCCTGTAAGCAATTCTGCGGTGCTGCTGCCATAAATACCAGGACGTCACGCCCTGCTGAAGTCCATTTTATAATAACACAGTGCAGGTAATGCCAGTGCTATTCACATATTTATGGAAACACAGGTCTACAAGGCCAGCAGTTTATTTAAATGAAGGCGTCGCCCATCCATTCAGAAGGCTAAACTAACGTTACAGGATGTAAGCTTTCAGATGAGAAGCGAAAGCTTTCAGTGCGTTTGTACTGTGGTGAAAAAATAAAGAGTGGCCGTGATTTAGGTTGGTCATAAACCGGCTAAAGACTCGGGGATTATGTTTCATAGTCCTGAAAGTGCCCAAGCAGGGCACCGCTGATCACACACATCACGGTAGCTCACAGCTAGCTAGGAGAGGCTAGCTAAGTTGACGCTAGCTTCTCGCTGCAATGAATTGTTGCAGTTACTTAAAGCTCTCCCGGGAATCTCACACTCGCACAGCATAATACATCTGAGAAGAGCTATTGGAAGCAAAGAAACGCATCTACCTTGAATTCCCGTTTGATGTGACATTGTGTCTTTCGTCGGATAAAGGGCTGATGCAGCTGATCAGGCGAAACCAGGGCAGAGAAGCAGGAAGTGGACTACATTGACAAGACCCGCCCAAATCCGTCGTCATCAACATCAAAAATCACATGACACACACACACACACACACACACACACACACACACACATTTATATTTATATATATATATATATATATATATATATATATTCATTCTATGAATAAATGTTCAGATCTTGTTATTTTTTCTAAGTAAGAAATATTAGTAAACTGAGATCTGTAGTTTCAACTGCTGAATTAGAGATGCTTGTACATGCCTAATCATTGTAAGCACTATTCTCATCACTTAAGTCTGACCTTGATCATCTGCAGACAATCCAGAATGCTGCCGCAAGATTACTCACTAGTTCAAATAGACGACTTTACATTAACCCTATACTAAGATGTGTGGAGATGTGCGGCATGGATGTAATATGATGTTTTTATACGTTTTTATATGTCTATATATTTTTTTTTATAGTGATGTTTTTATAGGTCTGGTGAGACCAAAGACGATTTTCCAGCTTCCAGCTTTAGAGGCCATAGCACCGAAATTATAGAATTCTCTGCCCTCACTCTTACGGTCTGCTGATTCTGATGTACTTGTACTGTATTATTGTACTGTAGTTGTGCACTTTCTTCATGTGGCACTTCATCTTCTGTGATTTCTTTCTTGTATGTTAATGTTTTTTTAAAGCACAAATAAAGTTTACTTACTTACTTACATATGTAAATTAGCAATACCACACTATAAAAATACCCCAAGAAAAAGTCCTGCATTCAACACTTTCACTCAAGGAAAAGTAGAGGTATTATAAGCTAAATGTAGGCCTACTTAGAGTATCAAAAGCAAAATCAGATTGGCCCACGTAAGAGTTATTTTATTTGATAGCCTATTGTTATTTATTTTCCGACTAAGCTACAACAGCATTTTAAGACTGTAGCCCCTGATAGAGGAGGGGGCCCTGGTAAATACTTGATACTCCTTTGATCTCTATCAATGCATCATATTGTACAAGCTCGTTATTTGTTTTGTATGCAAAAATGTGAATATGGAAAGTAGTAATAGTTGTCATGAAAATGTTCATTATTCCCTCCTGAAATGTAGTGGAGTAAAAGCAATCTTAAATGAAAACATTAAAAAAAATAGGAATGAAATTAAATGAAATGCTAAAGCAAAGTATAGCTCTGTACAGTATATTGTACTACCACAGTACTTCAGTAAATACATTTTGTTACATTCCACTGCTGAAATATTCTACTACTTCTACAATTACCCATGCTGGACTACCAGCCAGGCAAAGCAGGATATTGCCCTGAAGCCCCTAGTCCCCAGGGACACCAATAACTCCAGTGTCACTGTCTTTCAGTTGATTGGAGGTAATTTTATTAATTTCAAAATTGTTTAAGAATTTGCACTAAATACAATATCTTCTAGGGCGGGTCCTAAATAATTACCTAATCGTGTGACCCTGTCTTTTGGAGGGATTTTATTTAAGATTCTCATGTGGGATCTTGGCTGTGATGGACTGGCAACCTGTCCAGGGTGTACCCCGCCTTTCCCTGTAAACTGGGATTGGCTCCAGCCCCCCGCAACCCTGTACGCAGGATAAGCGGTTGACGATGGATGGATGGATGGATGTGGGTCGTCCTAAGCCTTTCTGTGTAGAATTTGCATGTTCTCCTTGTTTCTGCGTGGGTTCTCTTTGGGTGCTCGGGTTTCCTCAGACAGACCAAAGACATGCAGGTTGATAGGTTAATAGGTAACTCTAAATTGCCCTTAGGTGTGAATGTGAGTGTTTGTTTGAATGGTTGTTTGTCTTTGTGTGTCAGCCCTGTGATTTACTGGTGACCTATCCAGGGTGTACTCTCTTGCCCACTGTCAGCTGGAATTGGGTCCAGCCCCCTTGCAATTTTGCATGGATAAGCGCGTATAGATAATGGATCGATGAACAGATGCTCATGTGGGGCACATGCCTCAATAAAATTATGCTAAATCAAAATCCCTCAAACTAATTGACCCAGAAGAAAAAGGTCATGTAGTAAGCCTACACCATCATATGGTTGGTTTCTTGGTCTTTGTGTGGCTTTTACCTGATAGAAACTTGAATGCGATAAGTGACAGAGGAGAATCAGTAGGGGCCCAACAAAATATTTTGCCCTGGAACCTACTACCACCACTACTACTGCAAAAAGAAGAAGAAGAGTATTTAATCAGTACTGGGGGAACCTATTACCTTAAATTTCCCCTTAACATTTTTAAACAGTAAAGTTCTGAAGAGATACTAAGAAAATCAATGCAGCTGTAAATAATTATGTGACATTTATAATGATATTGTTTGGGTATTGAAATTAGGATACAATAACAACATTATGAATAATTACGTTTTATTTTGGAGGTCTGTAAACAGTACCATATCTGCTTTTAATTGTATAAGTTAAAATACATTATTTCTAAATGTTCAGTATATGTATACAGAAGTATACTACAATTATAAGATTGGTTCTCATTATTTTAATATAAGTTGGACCGCGATTAAAGCAAGTCATTTTTATTTTTTATAGTTTTCTATTTTGATTTAGGTCTTTGATTTGTGAAAAGAGGGAGATTTCCGCCTCTCATGGCAGCATCTCATTTGGCGTGAAATCCTCCAAAATCTGGAAGCCACCGGGTTTCCTGGCTGTGCACTCTGTCCCGCCTACTTCTTGTTAAATAAATAAATAGCTCAGCAAAATCATGCTGTCACCAGGAAATCTCAGCTCTGTGTGACAGCAGACACAGAAAGGGTCATACCGGGAACGATGTGAACGCGTCTTCAAAATAAGGGTGTGCATTGTGTCCATCAAGACCAATTTTGTCCTGAAGCTGGTATTTAAGCATATATAGCTAATTTTATAGTTCAAATGATATAACAAAACATAATTTATTAATAATATAAAGATAAGTTATCTGGTAAGCTATGTGTTGTGAATTAGTCTTGTCAGCTAAATATTTATTTACAACAAATCTTGATATAGTTGTCAGTTTGAAGTATTTCATGATCATTTTTTGAGAGAGAAAAATTCTGACATGGCTAAAATATATTAGGTATTGTGTGAATATGTATTCAAATGTAAAAATAAGTAAACAAAAAAAGATACATCAATGATTTAATAAACAAAAAGGATGGCCCTGATGAAGGTCACAAGCCAAAACGCTTCGGCATGACAATAAAGTTGTTCGTTATACTGCACGTGTTGCTGGAGTTTTGACCTCTTCATTATTTAAATAAACAACTGTATTTAGGTCTTTCTTGCAAAATAAATTTTGATCTCAATGAGATTGCCTGACAAATGGTGGTATATATATATATATATATACAGTGTGTATAATAATGTTCACTTATTACAAATTCCTCCGTCAATTTATTTATTTTGTGTAATTGTGTGATTGTGTGAACTGACAAAACCTTCTGTCCGTATTTATGATGTTTTATTTTGAAAGCTGTGAGCGGACGTTGTATATTTCTACTGGCTCTGACTTTACGGTGGTGAATCAACGTGTTTGGCTCACGTCGCGTTGCGCTAATGTTGTGCTTGCTGTGTGGACCCAGCTATCTCAATCCATCCTACATCAGTAGCAGCAGCAGCAGCGTCCCGTTTACAGCCCAGAAACTGCAGCGTCCGGCGGGAACCCTTTGACGAAGCACCGCCCAGCTGAGGTAGCCCGCCCGGCGCATGGACAGTCCAGCACAATGGCAAAGGATTTGGGGGTCCCTCTGTTGTACACAAACAACAGGTCGCTTGGATAATTCCTCCCCTAACCCTCCCTATCATCTCGTGTTTGGGACGATTAGAGCGCCGCTGTCGGCTTGATGTGGCAGCAGAGTCGTGCGGTAGCGGGGCTTCTCCTCCTGGCTGTCGACTGAGAGGAAAACGGTGTGGAGCAGGTGCGTTGATGGTGATGGAGATTTAGCGTTATCGCACATGTTCAAATACTACCGAGGCGCAGACTGGTAGGATCTCACTGGGTGCTTCGACATTTAAGTTGTGTAATCAAACAATTCCAGTCAAACCTTGTGTGTTATCTCCGAGATATGTAGGGGTGGCGATGTGACATTTGGCATCATCACTGATGTGACATTAGAGGGGATGCGTGTGGTCACAGACTTAAGGTCGAAACATGGTGGTCCATTGAGAATTTGCCAGACTTGGCACCAGAAATGGAGCTATTCAGTCTATATCCTGTAGCACTTAAGACTGTTTATATTGCCCGGCCCAAATGTAATTTTTATGGTTTAGAGGACAGCCAGGGAGTTGAGAGAATGTACCAAGAGCAGGGTGGTAACGGTGATGATGATAATGATGTCACAGATATTGCAAGTTCAACTGTAGTAGTCTTCATTGCTTTTTCATCATTGTCTAAGTTATAGCCCACTACCATATGCCATACACATACCCCAGGCTTTCTCTGTGGTGTTTGCATGTTTTCCTCATATTTACATGGGTGTCCTTGGGTGCTCTGGCCCCTTCCCTCTCCATGCATGTCCTGCCATAAGGCATTGGACTCAAATTGGGAACAGGTCCCCTGTCGACAGAGAGAGGCGGCCCACTCCTCTTAATGTTTAGAGTGGGATAAAGACAGAAAAGTAATTGTGAATTTTACCAGGATAATTAAGTGTCTACCTCCTATTAGTGGAATCACACAAGGTGGCACATTCTGACAAGACAATCATGATGCTGGTGAAATTTAATAGCCACACAGCTCTATTCCTGAAGCCATTACATCATTCCAAATTCCCACTGTGGGGTATTTTAGGAAACGGTCTCAAAGCAGGGAACTGGTTTGGGAAGTTCATTCCGGCGAGGTCAGACCAGTCACAGGGGGACACAGCGGGGGAGTTCAGAATGGAGTTCATGGGTAAATGGAAATAGTCTGGTTAAAAAATACAGGGGCGGTCTGTCTAGAAGTTACTGAAGCGCTGCT